AGAGTTTTGTTGGTTGGAGGTTGTAGCCGGGATGCGAACCCTGGAGCGAGGGCAGGCATTGACCTAGATGCCCTCTCTACTTCTCATCCTTCTCTCTCTCTCTCTCTCTCTCTCTCTATTCGTATCTATCTATCTGTTAGCTTTCTCCGCCTTCCTTCTCGTTCGACGAGCTCGACTAGGTCTCCTGACGAGACCCTGGCCCTGGACAAACTGCCTCGACTTCAGTCACGGTTCCTTCTTCCTCTTAACATATCACATCTCTCTCTCTTTCTCACTCTCTTTCTCTTCCATTTCTACTTCTCTCGTTATTGTAGTTGGGCTAGCAGAAGTAATTCGAATATGTTGGATCAGGATACCAGGAACTTAGGAGAGAGGTGTTCCACTCCCTGTTATCCTACGGGATACGCCAAGAGAGAAAGAGCAGCAAAGGGGTGAAGAAGAGTTCGTGCCAGACCTGGAGAGCAGTATTATTGATCGACCCTGAATCCACTTGCTTGTCCACGTTTCCGACTGCCCTCCTTCCTATTTCTCCTGCAACTCTTCCTCCTCTTCCACTCCCCCTTCTCCCACCCCTTTCTCTATTCCCTTTCCAAGTGCTTAACTATTTGCCAAACTCTCTACAGAACGATTGACTAATCTTCTTTTAATGTAAAAGAAAGAAAAAAGAAACTGTTTGCCGATCGATCGATCTATAATACTTCGATTGAATACTCGGATTAGAACGTTTCTATGACGAATGTTGGGAAGAGTTTTTCACTTGTGAATTATTATTAAGCTATAATTGACCGCGGGTTTAGAATTATGTTGATATACTAAAGTAATACTATCATGCACCAATTCGTTAATTTTAAATATGTCTTATAAAATTGTAAGCTATTTAAAATTCTCATTGATATAGGAATGTAAAATCAAAATATTGTCGAAGGGTTCAATAAACGTTTCAAAATGCAATTGGGACGTGCTCTGGACAACATCTCGCAGGCACGTGTCAAACCGATCACGCGGATTCAATATCCGGTCACTCTCAGTCTCTCTCTCTATGTGTCGATCTTAGTGTATAGTGTGTGCATAATCGAGCCAAATGCACGCAGAATATGCATACCCGGAGTAGTAGGAGGGGGCACGTGCCTCGGTTAACGTTCGGATACTGTCACGATGCTATTTCGTTTCGTGCATTCGAGGGGATAATCTCTGGGATTGGAAACGTGCGAATTTAGCGAGGGACGCATTGCAGTTACTGACATATCCTTTGTCCCGTTTTTATATTCGAACAATGTATTCCGATCTACTTGTTTCAACTGAAATGTGAATCTATTATAATCCAAGCGATTGCGTTTTACGTTTCTGTTAAGTCAGATTTTTAATATTATTACTATTATTATTATTATTATTATTATTTATTTGTCTTAAAGGTTTTTATTTTTTGTTCTTTTTCCTATATATTCTAAGGGTTGCCTAAAAAGTATGGCGTCGATTTATATTCTTTAATGAAAAAGAATTGGCACGAACTTTCCGAGCAAAGCAATATATTTAAATGTCACACAGATAATAATCCACTTTCGTTCGTTCGCTCGTTCATTTATTTCATAATACGTTTAATAGTTAATTAATTAAACCTCCCAATTTAGCCAGAGGTGCAGAGTTACGATTGCTTCACAAGTTACTACAAAGCAATTATATTTTAAATTGGACGTTGAATTCTGTTCGTATTATTAAATACAATCAATACACAGTGTGCATAGATATTCCATTTTAATCGGATAAAATTCTAAATGATATATATATATTAGTACGTTTATTATTCTATCTTTGTTTATTTAACGAATTACAAATATAAAAATGCAAGTTACTTTTGACGATTAATCGATAATCATACGTCAAATATATCTTCGCTTTTAGGTCAAACGGTGATTTCTGTGTATCAGAAATATTTTTATTGTTGGATAAAAGCTACGTTGGGATGCAGCTTGGTTATCTATATTCATGTACTGTACTATGCGGATGCACGATGCATCCGCTGTTGTTTGTTTGCAATGAACCTGAACGCATAGAATTGCAACTAACTGTCGATAAGCATGTGATATTTCCTTCGTATTTACATTGAATATAGGATCATCAGATTAAGCGATTGAAGTTGTATTGATAAATGTGGTACATGTATACAAATTATGTACTTCTGAAATACACGAGTAAATCTAACCGTTATAACATTTTTTTTTAGATAACAGATAAATGAAAAATTCATTGTCGTTATTTATGCAGTAAACTTCATTCAAACTTCAATCTCCAAAAATGTTAGCAAATAAATAAATCTTATCAATATTTTTCATCGTGTGTGTAAAATGGATTGATTATCTGCAAACCCTGACGCGACCCTATCATTCAACTTGTTAATAGATATCATAATATATAACGAATACATCAAAATAAATGTATATGTGGTAACATAAAAACATGGTCAAAAGATTCCTTTCACATCTGATTTCACCCAACATCCGAATAAAACAATAATTCGGGAAAATAGGTGAAAATTTATTTTGAGATTTGAGAGTAGAAGATAATTGGAACACTCTCGATATTTTCAGAGGTCGAAAAGAGACCACGCGACGAGACTGGTTCCTCCTTGCTACTCCTCCTCACCTCTCTCTCTTTCTCTCTCTCTTTAGTGTTAACAACGAGCAGGAAGTGCAATCTTGTGCCGTCCGGATCGCAAGTTTATATTTAAACGCGAGATAACGAGGTTTCCATGCACTCGTAGTTCCTCGTGCGGTAACTTAGGTGGGCGTAGACGATGAATGAAATAGCGTTTTAGCGATAGTTGCGTCCGGTCGGACAGGTCGGCCAGTTACTTGGCTTTGCCTAGAGCTTGCCTAGTTTGTTAGTTGGCTAACTTCTTTCCGGAGGACTCACATAAGCACTCACTCACTTTCAATTCTCCTCAATGATTGTGTGTGTATGTACCTTTTTGCTCTTGGTCATTCGTAAATCTAGTTTCATGAATCGTTTCTAACACTTTCTCTTAATGTGTTGGTTAAATGGTTCTAATCGTATACGATTATTCAAAACTTGACGGTTGACACGTCCAATGGCAATGTTAATAATTTTGTCTCATTTTGATTAATTGTTTTTGACTGACATAAAACAAATTAATTGTAATGTAAGACACACTGGATATGTACTGTTATTGCAACGACGTGTGTCTCTGGTATAGAATGTAAATAATATTATTCTTATTTACTATAATTATTTATGTGTTTTTTATTATTATGCAATAATGATCTTATTTAATTTTATAAATATCTCATGTTTTTCTATCTCCTCTACAGTGATTAATTGTATTAATTAAATAACGTAATAATTTTAGAAGAAAAAATATGTACAATCACCTCAGCAGTGACTTCATAGGACAAATAATTACATATGATCATTTTTATGGAAAAAAAAAAAATATGTATATATATATATATATATATATATAAAGAGAGAGAAAAAATACAGATATAGTCTCGAAATAGGAAGAATTCTTGGAAAAAGGGGGTTACTATTGTCAAAGCTGACCATCTGCTGGGGAAAAGTTTCAAGAATCGGTAGAATTCTGTTCTTTAAGTAAAGTCGAGAGTCGAACAGATGATAGAGCAAGAAAAGAAATGAATAGGGGGTGGGGAAAGTGTAGGGAGTTGGGGATCAAAGCAAAGACGAAGTTGACGAAGTACAGTGGGAAAGAAAGAGAAAAAGGATAGGTAAACAAGAGATATCGATGGGAACGCGCGTCTTGTTACTTTTTTGGGGCCAACTCCGGTGTATTCGGCTTTGGTTGCGTAGAAAGTTGCGGACCCAGTGCCCCTCCCTCTCCGTTAACCCATCGCCCCACCATCACCAAGAGCGACGACTCGCGCGCCCAACCACGGCCTCGTTTCAAGGCCCACCGTAGTCGAATCTATGGTGGGGGGCGATCGCGGCGCAGTTTCGGCAACTGCGTCACGGTACGCGGTACGATCGCGATTATCAGACAAACTTGTCTTTATCTTACATTGTACTTCTCTTTTACGATCTTCGAGATCTTATCGAATTGACCACGATTCTTTTTTTCGCGAATTTAAATATCTTTTCTTTTTGTTCTCCGTTTTATTCGGTGCGCGTAATATTATTTATTCAAAAAGAAAAAAAAACAATTTGTCGTTCAGCGTTGTTCATCGGTAAGAATTATTATTTTTTTGTAATTTGTTTATTATTTTTTTTTCGTTTTATATATTTCTTTCTAAGGAATGTTCTTATACAACGAGTCGAACGAGAATCAAGTTATGTAAAACTTTCGTTTTAATTGTTCTATAAACATCATAAAATTTCTATTCAATATTATGACCCGTCGAGTTGATATAGCAAACATCATTAGCAAAAAAGAGAAATACTTACATTGTAGAAATGTAGTTAAAATTATGTTAGACAAGACAGGAATCGAAGCGATATCATCGTGTCTTACAATCAGTTCAAACCATAGGTTTTCGTGAACAACACAGTTGCTTAAAATTCGCATATGCATGACATGCGTGACACAATGCGTTGTCAGTAGTATCGGTTTCCGTTTACCTTTTTTTCTCTTTTGACAGAAATAATAGGTCACGGGTATGCTGTACACGCGAACGTAAGCCCTTTCATCGGGGTCGTTACGCTCGTTTCAACAACGAAGTACAATAAAATTTATTCAACGAATTTCATCACGAATGGGATAAAATTTGATAGACATTGAACTCGTATGATTATGATTGAGAATTTCTGAGAATTTCTATCGATAAAATGGTAAAGTTGATATAATATATTGATTTAAGACCACTGTACATTAATACCTATATATTTTGTACTAGTAACGAATTGGATGTATACGTCATTATGGTTGAGAACCACTGAAAATGTATTCTGATCTTCGCGTACTTCAAATATCAAGATTTATAGCACTCTGTGATTCTCTTTCTAATTGCTTCGTTCTTCTCCTCATGTTCCAGATACCTCAAGCCATCAACGGGCGACGATTGCATAAGGAACTTTATGAGAGGGATTATCGATGCGCGCGCGAGCACGCGACACTCGAGCCCTTCCGCATGAGGAGGAGACAGCAGGAATCGGCGGAGGAGGAAGAGAATCATTTCGTGATCCTTCGAAGATCGCGAGAATATTTTTATCGGCGTTCATAGTAAATACGCTGAGAACGACATAGCCGTATACGTTAATGCAACAAGAACGTTAACAATAATAAAATATAATCATTACTCTAACTGGTTAGAGTTTACAAAATAAGCATCATCTGGTCGTCCTTAAGTTTGAAATAACATCGACACGTTGATACGAAACTCGGTGGTCTCGTCGGGTGTGCGTATCGATCGTCTCGTTGAAACAGTAAAAAGAGAGAGAGAGAAAGAGAGAGAGAAAAAGAAGAAGGAGAATAAGAGTAGGGTAGCTCTCTCTTTTCAAAGATCTCAGGAAGGAACGAGTACTTTTGGAGAGCAGGAGTTAAAAGACGCATTATATTGCTCATACGTACAACTAAAAAAGATAGAGAATGTAAAAGGGGAAAGATAAGATAAAGATAAAAAAGAAAAGAGAAAAAGAGAGAGATAGACTCATCGAAACATCAACACTGCCTTCTCTCGTACGGCGAGAGACGAAAAAGAGAAGCAGAAGGATAAGGACAAAGGTGGACTTCGTTAGTTTTTTTAAGAAAGGTTAAAAAAGGAAGGAAAAGCGTACTGTTGTAGAGGTCACGTAGGTAAAAAAGAAGAGGACTCGTCACGGTGGCCAGCTTAGTGAGCGGTAACGTAGCGGTGCGTTACGATGAAACGTCGGGGGTGGTCGGTGCAGGGGGTGTCGTCCTGGCAGCGACGTCCAGGCTAGCCACGGCTGATCCACCGACATCCACCATGGACACCAGCGACTCGAGTATGGAAACAAGCAATGGCACCGGCAATACGACCGGTGTTGCTGTCCCAGGAACCGTTCCCGGGGTCAGTACGATCGCCTCCGTCGTTGCTAGCGCAGCGTCCTTGGCGCTTGTCAAGGCCGAAGCGCCCGAACACCTGGCCGGGACATCGGCGACGGTATCAGCGGTCACTGGACCGGTTGGTACCGGAAGCGGTCTCTTTGCTGGGATCGCCAGCAGTAACAAGACATCCAGGCCGGACGATTGGCTCGCCACTGGCAGTCCCGGTTCACCTCCGGTAGCCCTACAGAGTCAGCATGTCGTGTATACAACACCTCAACAACAGTTGTCCGATCCTCAACCTCCTCTAGCTCACTCGAGCCCTCTAGCCCATCAACAGCAGCAACCTGCCGCGAGCAACAACGGTTACGCGAGTCCGATGAGCACCAGCAGCTATGATCCCTATAGTCCCAACAGTAAGATAGGTGAGTTTAATTTGTTCTCTTAGATTTAAAGAACTCATTAAATTCTGCCATTTTATTTCAATTTTAACATGTATCACCTTGACAAGTATTTCGACAGATTTTAATTTCGCGCTTTTGTATTTAAAATAGAACAGAGATTCTTAACGAAATGGACATTGCGGAATTTTTGCGAGACGAATATCACCGTTCAGGAAAATGTGTTGCTTGTATCGAACATATTGGCTTTATTTGATAGTATAATTTATTTTGACAATATACTTAGTCACGTAGGTCGGCCGTATTCGTTCAATTTTTTTCTTACTCTAGGTGAGATTAAAAAGAACTGAGGAGAGGATATTCTTTGGTCGATTAATTTACAAAATCGCGAGGTGAGCTGGTTTCGAAAGAAGATGGCGGGCGCGGCCCGTCGCGCCGCGTTGCGCCGGCTAGTGGAATGAGAATAATGGCAGATCGTCGTTTCTCCGACAGCGATGATTAATCGAGGTCGTTGGAATCGGGCGAAACGAATTAAACGCGTTCAGGTTTAACGCTCCCTTAGCGTATTCTTCTTTCTTTCGTTCCGTGTTAAAACGCCGGCGAGCTAGACGCTCGTTAAAATGCTTGAGGACCGAGAATGTCCGCGTCAGCGCGATTAAATCAGACCAAACGCTGAGCTTTGATGCGGAGGCGGACAAGGAGAAGGAGAGGGAAAGACAGAAAGAAAGTGTGTGTGTGAGAGAGAGAGAGAGAGAGAGAGAGGGCAACAGTTCGTTTCTGCCGACGCGTTTCGCCTTTATAATGCCGTTTTGATTAAAGTATTTCTTTGTAAGGAAAGGGAAACAGAGAGCTCACTGTGTTTCAGCAGTTGGCATCATCATGGATAGGTTCGAAAATTTTTCTCCTTCAAACTCTTGGACTCTTTTTTCCTGTAAAAACGATTCTTCATCGTCTTCTTCCTTTCTCAACTCCCTCCTCCACCTCTTCCTCCTTGGAAATGTTTCATTAACCCTAATCTCTTTCCCTCTCTCTCTTGCTTCTTATAATCCATAAGTATATACCATCGATCGTTACAATCTTAACTCAACCACGTAACGTTATTTATTTTGTTTCCCTTTTTTCTTGGCTTTTCTTCTTTTTTCTTTTTCATTCCATTTTTTTTTCCCTTACCTTTCTCCGTGAGATAGAGGGAAGCCATGGTCTTCGACACTTTAAAGGATTCTCGTTTTTCTCGCCACGAATATATCTTTTATCTACTACGTATACGTATTTGTTTGTCTAACCAGTGATAAAAATTGGTTTACTTTGAAAGAAAAAGTATACTAGTAGTTTCCTTTTTTTTTTTGTTATTATTTCTTTAGCAAAAAAAAAAAATAAATTCGCGCTAATAAAGTATGCGCGTCGCGTTCATACGTTGTCTTTAATATCTTCTTATCGTTTCTTCGGAGAGAAAATGTGGGAAAATAAAAAAAAAAAAAAAAACAAATAAAATCAAAAGTTAAAGAAACAGAAAATTGGCAATAAATAAATTTTAATGTTTAAACGTTACCGTCCAAGGAAGCAAAATTTCGCTTGTATTTCTCAAACTAAAATAGGATTTCTTATATCGCTTCGGCCACGTTTTCAAGAGGAAGCACGTTGATGTATTCACCGATCTCTCTCTCTCTCTCTCTCTCTCTCTCTCTCTCTCTTTCTTTTTGTACTCTCTACCGTGCCAGATGCAATTCTCGCGGCCTGGAATTTAAACCGAGACGTCGTCGTCGCGACGCCGAGGCACCAATTCGCCGCCACCATCCTCTATCTCTCCCACAAACCTCCCACCCCCAACTCTCCTCACCCCTCGCCACCTCGCCACACCCCGCGCTCCTTTTCGACCGACCTCGATTCGTGTATTCTTCTCCTCCTTTTCCTATTTCCATTCGAATTATTTTCTCCGAAACAAAATTCTTCTAAACTCTTCCGATTCAACTTTTCCGCGTGACAATGAGTATTGATTCATTTCTTTTTTGTGTGTGTTTTCCTGATAAACTTTTCGATTAATCTTTCATTATTTCGTTGTTGAAATTTGTATCTCACATCATTCTCGAATTTGCATTTTATGATAGTAGGAAATATGTTTATACGAAAGAACGTCGACGTGGTTAATAATAAATTTGATGAAGTTTTTCTTAATTTTAGTTTTTTCTTTTCGTTTTTTTATATGTGTTTTTCAAACTTCCTCTGTACTCTCTCTGATTCTCGAATTCGCACGATCTTACGCTAGTCGCATCGTCTAATCGTCGTCTTCCTTTTTCACCTCTGCAAACTCAGAGACCGCGTCACGTTAAACTCTAATCCCCATATTTTATTTTTCTTTATCTTTAAAAAATAATCGCGTGGGGTTATTCTCTTCTTGATCTTTAGTTTTCTTTTTAATTTCTTCTTTGTTTTGTTTTTGTCTCATTCGAGACTACTTCCTTAAGAACATACTCGTTGTTTATTGAATTTGAATAAAATTTTATATCGTAATAAATTACCGATCTTCCGATTGCTAAACATAATTCGTAACAACATTTTTTTTTATCTGTTTTCAAACTACAGATAGTAACACAGAGCCATACAGACAGGGAAACACATATATTTACTACTCACCCACGCAAAATATGTTAATAATTATAAATCTGTGAACGATTTTTTTGTCATGCTTATTTTATCCTACTTGGCACATTTAATTCTCTCTAAGCACCCCTTTCGAGCAACATCTCTTATCGTTCCAATGGATGTCATTGCATTGGCTGGTCGTTGTATTAGCATACACATAATATCGAATACACATATATAAGGGGACCAATCGTGTCGTAAATCATTATCGTTCCCCTCGTTCGAAGCAGAGAACGACGTTCCTGACCTATCCCTCTTCTTGAATTATTTTCCACAGTCAGACATACACACACACACACATTGTATGTAAGTGCTTACATATGTCACAATATTTATTTATAAGAACTCGAGCAAACGATTACAAAATGATTTGGAACAGCATTTTCAAAGCTATTTCTTTTTATTACCAAGTAAAAACTTATCATAATCAATTCGATATTATTTTGAATTGACCGATAAATAAATAATGTCGGAATGTTGAAAATTTTATCTTAACAATATTAGTAATATTTTCATTAACATTTTTTTTATATAAAAGTTATAAAATCGATTTGTCGCTTAATTATTCCAATATCAAATACACACAATTCCTTTTTTTTTTTTTTTTTTATCGATAATCTAATAATATATTATCGTTGTTATACTCTGCGTAATAATTATAATATATAAATTTATTTAGATATAAAATATATTAAAAATCCGTGCAATATTTATTGATAATGCCAATACTTTTAGAAAAAAAAAATCGATATAAATGTTATAGTTACGATTAGTAACGTAATAGTAAATAAGAGAAGAAGGAGATAAGAAATAATACCGTAGATTATTTTCACCCTTCGACTATGATAATGAACTGTTGCTAAAATAGAACACAGTTGCTCTCGCGTAATACATGTGCATGACAATAGATGACGCATATACACGTAGCATATTCGAGTACGTAGAATGCGTACGCTATTAATATTTCAAAGTGAGGACGGAGAGACGCGGTGAGGAGGGTCAGGAAAGAGATGAACAAGAGGAGTTGGAGGACGGGAGGAGGAAAGCTTTTGCTGGCTCGTGCTCGAGCATCGAACCGTAAAGCTCTTTCCGTCGGGCTTTCTTTGAGCCAACTGACTATCTCTCTTTCTCTCTCACTCTTTATCTATCTTTCTCTATCTTTCTCTATCTTCCTCTATCTATTCGTCTATTTACAGGATGGCCCACTTAGCTTCCGTCACCTCGAACTTGTAATTCATAGCACGTCTTAATTAAAATACTTTTCTCATGTATTCTATAACGCAACAATAAAATTTAAAAGAATATCGATTAAATAATATATAATAATTAATTCTCATATATTTTGATCTCTCACACTTTCACAGTATATATAATAGATAAAAATATTTTCATTTCTTTATTCACATCAAATAATAAACTTAAGATATATAAAATTGCCTTGTTATCGTTGTAATTAATAATACGGCCCCTGAAGTTGAATAAACGTCAAATAAAATTCTTGAATTGGAAAAATACGAATGGGAAATTTAATTAATTTCATTTTCTTTTTTTTTTATTATACTGGTGTAGGCAGAAATAATGCATACGTACATCTTCGTTTATTTCGAGGAGGAGAGGTTAATGCAGCCGATTCGGCGAGCGGACGTGACGTCACGAGGTCTTCTCTCTTTCTCTCTCTCTCTCTCTCTCTCTCTCTCTCTCCCCCTCTTTTTCTCTCTTTCTCTCGTTCGCTCTCACCGCTAATAATTTTTCCTCTCCATTCGTCTCCTCCCGCCTCTGTTCTCTATCTCTCTCTCTCTCTCTCTCTCTCTCTCTCTCTCTTTTATTCGCTTGCTCACTCACTCGGCAATTCCTGTCCACTTCCGTCAATCCAGCGACCGCGTGCACTACTGCCATACTGCGGTGCTATTCAATGTTGCCGTTCGAATACCAGTTCGTCGTTCTTCTCCTCTCTTAGCCTTTTATTATTTTTCATTTTGCTTCACTTTTTCTCATTTATCTCGTAGAATTCTCGTTACTCTAAGTTTCTTTTACTTTTTTTAACAAAATCTCAAAGTTTCGAAGTGGAGTCGCCATTTTCTTCTTGACATTACACTTCCATAATGTCTTCGTTTTTCTTACGATCGATAATAATGGTCTGTCTTCTTAGTTATCTTTGTCACGATAATCTATCGTAGTAATGCCCATAATATAGGTCCTGGTAAATATTAAAATATGTGAATAGTTTACACTTTTATTAATCGACTCTTGACACTAATTACATTTATGAGTTGAAATTATCGTTATTGAAAGTAAATTTTAACCTTAAAAAAGTCTGGGAAAAACCGTTTGTTTCTATAATGTTTTAAGTATAATAGTTGATATGCAGAAAGAAAAAAAATGTT